CCATGCAAATAGTGGAAGTCTCTTTGTCAAAATGTTAGTTAAAAACTATTTAACAAAGGGATGCAAAAAAGGATCAAATATTTTCGAAGTTAAATTATGTTGACTATGTCCAAACTATTTCGTTATTGCCTGCCAATTATGGAGGAAAAATAAAGTGGTGGCTGAGGGGCAAAGGAATACACCAGAATAATTCGTGTATTTTTTCCCGTTTCACTATATGGCTGTATATATAGAGAAACATGTCACTCGATAATAAATTTGCTCGAAGATCAAATCCATGTTTTACAAGTGCATGTTTTACAAGTGTATGGTTTACAAGTGCATATTTTACAAGTGCATATTTTACAAGTCCATGTTTTACAAGTCCATGTTTTACAAGTCCAGTCCATGTTTTACAAGTCCAGTTCAGTCCAAGGTCCAGTCCATGTTTTACAACATGCCCAGATTCTGTACTATAACCACTAATTCTGCTCTGGGATTGGCGCTGTTTAATCAGAGAATCTCCCCGTTGAACAAGAGCCTTCGCGACGTTTCAATGTATTATTTACTGTCGAAGGCTCTGGAATCCATGGTACTCCCCAACTGACAAAAGATCGAACATAGCGCTTGTTGTCAACAGATCGAATTACTACAACACGTGGTATATTCTAAGCATGTTTTAACAATTAAAATTGGTTGTAAAATGGTCGAAACTCTGGAACTTCCACTTGCCGCAAATTATATTCCCCAGCAGAACATTCCACAAGTTCAAATTACAGATTAATTACGCAGCAAATAAAAATGTATATAAGCTATCGCGAGTTTCAGTTTAAGTCTTAGATTGTTTAAGTCCTAATGTGCAGGACTAATGTACAGGATGCATATATATTGTACTTTGGAATATTATCTGAAAAAATTCAGAATATTCAGGACAACAATTTGACATGACAAAAACATATTTCTAGTCTTATAATGACCATTGGTGTTCAGATATGGGTGAAGTCTGTATTATGGGAACATGGCTACAGTTGCATGTTGTTCATGTTGATAGCCCCAAATGCTAGTATGTGACCAAAGTAGAACCAATTTCCAGTTTTATTCCCATTTAGAAGGCAGGGGGAAAATATGCATTGTTATTGATAAGGATTTGAGTTTATTTGGTAAGATGCATTTTAACGTTTTGTATAGACCACACAATGGATCATTCTAGAAAAGATCCACACTCCCACCAAGGCGGAATTTTTTCCTGTCCAGCGGGTAAACAATTGTTTGTGATAATAGTAAGCGTATTAGGACATCTAAAGGGGATAGAGGGATTACTTCCAATTATCATATGGGGCCTGAGGTACAGTATAGATGTTTTCTTGAATGACCCAATAAATAGGGCACAATTAAATTTATTATTTTTCATCTCGTAAAGAAATGGTTTGTTTGCTTACTTTGATAGACAGTAGCATCCTAGTAATTCTTCCTTTGATTGTTTAGCTGGATGTGCCTTCTATTATTCTACGGTGCATTTGTTATGTTGTACATTCTGAACATTTACACTGCAATTTACAATAACTACAAGTCTACAACAAACATGAGGGTTGTCTTTCATGACATCATGAGCGTCAATAAGACAGCCCAACAAAAGCGTCCTAAGGCAGCTGTCCTCAAGTTTGCAGTATTCACGAATACTATTAATAGTTCCAGGCCGGCTCATTGCAATATCACGCTTGTTGTAGTATAAGACAGCTGTTAATCGTTTCCTATCACGACCTGCTCGCCCGGTCTCTTGAAAATATTCTCTAATTGTAAGTGGTGGCCCAACATGAATACTATGTCTTTTACATGGCATATCATTGCCCATTTCCAATGCAACAGTTGCAAATACAACTCTCAATTTTGACAATGGTGAAGAGAGTTCAGTGAGAATCTGATTCTTCATAGCACTTGTCTGGGGTGAGTGGAATTGGGCAAACAGCTTATTTTCTGGTTTTGCTTCAGCATCAAGAGGACAGTACAGTTCCTTATCCAAATGTTTAGCAAGATACTTGAAGGCATAACCACACCATTTTAGTGGCAGGTACAAAATGGTCAAAGATAATCCAATTCTTTTTATGCAAATCAGTTGCAATGTTGTGTAGAAGTTCTTGAAAAAATTCAAGGTCATTGCCCTTTCTGATGATCTTTTCATAAAATATATTTGGCCTGTCAGGATTAGCTGTGATTTTCACTGGCTTTTTCAAATTTAAAGATTCTTTAATTAATATAACATCTGCCTTGCTTGCTGTGGCAGTGAGGGCAACAACAGGAACGGTAGGGAACGTAGCATACAACATTGCCAAATCTGAATAATCTTTCCTGAAGTCAAGTCCCCTGCAAAACAATAAGACAAACATAATTAATATTTTTACAAGTTGACGTCAATGTGTAATTAAAAATTTTTGTATAATTTCTATAAAACATTTTTAATATACATTTACTAACTTACCATTCTAAAATACAGTGAGCTTCATGCACAATAATTGATTGAACGGACTCCTGATAAGGCTTGTTCTGTAATACAGTCGAACCTGTATTAAGCGGTCACCCTCGGGGATTTCGCAAGTGATCGCTTAATACAGGTTGACCGTTTAATACAGGTCTTGTAGAAAATCACCACACGGTTTAAATATAACATTTAATATAACTAAATTTGAACTAAACAGTAATATATTTCAATACACATACCAAGTAACCAATTAAAAAGTATATAAAACTGCAAATTCTTTCTGAGTTTAAACTGCAAATTGTTTCTCAATTGTTTCTGAGTTGAGACTACATGTACTAGTGTACAATAAAAATGTCAGAGCTTAAACCGCTGAAAAATAGTCATGAATTTTTGTTTGTTGTTGCGGACTGCTCAGTTTAATTTGACTCGACAAGTCATTCACCTTTGACATAGCAAGCGAAAGTTCTTGGTGTCCGTCAAATTGAGCAGATTTTCGCAATTCATTACCGGATTCCATCGCTTCTCGCACTGTTTTTTAATATGACATCGTCAGAGAAGCATTTTTTCAAACAAGACAGCGTCTGGCCAAACACGAAATAAGGAAGTGTCGTAAAATTTGACACGCGATTTGGGCAATCTACCAGCTGATTCATTTTTACAAAAACACTACCGACATTCTGGTTATAAAGTGTAAACATGCATGCTGCAGAAACTGAGACTAAAGAAAATTACACTGAAAGGAATTGAGCAACACTTCAAGTTAGTCCATTTATTCGGGGATATCATGCGTACATGGACGACTGGGAACCAAAACTCGATGAGGAATATTCACTTAAGCGCAGTTGGACATGCCCCGAAACTTATGGCACTATGGCTGACAAATTTTTTAAAACGGCAGACAAATTCTGGTAAAATAATCGTCAAAGGAAAGCGTGTCAACAGAGGAGGTGGTTATGGCTTAGAAATTCCGTGCGAATATCACTTTCATGGAGATACCTTTTCGTGTCAGTGGCTGAAGGGAAAGTTGACACAAGAAAAATTTAAATTGCTTGAATAATACGTCCACACGGACTGAAAAGACTGTTGACACTTTCAGTGATTACGGAAGTTCGAGTAATGAGATAAACACAACTTAAAACTTTGACATTTTGCCGAATAAATATTTAATTATAATAATATATTGTATTATGTTTCATGTTTGCTGTAGTTACTTTCCACTGACCGTTTAATACAGTTTCAAAACAATGAAAAATTAAGTTTGGGACCGTGGAAAGGGTGACCGCGTCCGCTTAATAGAGGTGACCGTTCAATAAAGGTCACTTAACTAGTATTTATATTATGAAATTTTCGGGACTTTGCCACATGACCGCTTAACAAAGGGTGACCGCTTAATACGGTGCCGCTTAATTTAAATTAAACGGTGCCGCTTAATACAGGTTCGACTGTAGTTTCATTCCTTCCTTACAAGATAGAAATGCCTCGGGATGCATGTAAATAATGTCATACTTTGCACCTTTGAGCTGCGAATTGGCGCCTGTAAAATCCAAACGCAAATCGTCGGTTTCTTTCCCCTTTTTAACATTCAATACACCGCGGCCTTTATATTTCCTTGGTAGCTTATTTTAATTTCATTCTCGATGAGAGCATTTAGTGGCGATATTACAATAACGACTGGATGGCATATTGACTTCGTCAACCGTTCGTCTCCACCATTGAACTTGTCGTAAAAAAGCGAGGGTAGAAGATGAAAAATCAGTTACTTTCCGTAACCCATAGGTAACACAGCTACAACGTCTCTACCAAAATATATTGCTTACAGACACTTCACTTGCCTAGGTTTCAAAACAATATTACAATAATTGCTACTTACTATTGCAAAGTGAAGACTGCTATAAAACATTGGATATAATGCCGAAGTAATTACATTTTAACGCAACGCCCCCCCCCCCCCCC